GAACTGCCTGATAGCATGAAAATACACCCAGTATTCCATGTGTCTCTGCTCCGACCCGCCGCCCCCAATACAGAGTACCTACCTGGCCAGCAGAACCCGCCACCTGATCCCGTTATCGTTGACGGAGAGCCCGAATACGTTGTCGAGAGCATTGAGAAGATCCGCTACAACAAAAAACGACGCCGATATGAATACCTGACCCGTTGGGCCGGCTATGACGAACTATCGTGGGAACCGGCTGAAGCCCTGCGCGACAATACAGCAGCTGGACAATTCCACGCCCGATACCCATCCGAACCAAAACCGTACCCTGATGACCCCAATGTGACAGTTTAGAAGGGGGGTACTGTCACGGTATCCTCTCCAGATCCCCTGACAATATCCGGATCCGCTCCGTACTGTCCCTGACCGTACGCACCAAATCCCCAGCGTCCTTACACACCTCCGAAGCGGACGTACAACCTCCGGCCACCTCCGGAGCAGGCCTGCAACCTCCGAAGCGGGAGTATTAGGGTTCTGCAAGCCCCGCTCCCGGACTTGCAACCCCGATACCTATCCAACTCAGTTCCGATTATTAACCGGTAACTGAACAAACCCACACGTAAGTATATAGACTACTGCTGGTAGAGTTCTGTTCGGTACACAACGTCTTGTACCTACTTAGATACCGTACGTAGTAATTGATTTAGACTCCCAGCGAGTCCTAAAGGGCCTACTCGTAGCATCTTCGTGACAGCAGGACTCAACACTGAGCCATCGGCGCAGACGCACGCAAGCAGCATCACCCACTCTCTGCTGCCATCCTGCAGGTGCTGGCGTTTCCTCCTTCCTTCATAGGACGCCCTGCTGAAGACTCTCTTGCCCTTAGCAAGTACCCCAATGGCAAAGCCCTTCTCATCCATATTGTATGTGTGGCGCGGCTCAATAGAGTATTCCTGCATCTTGGAATGCAACAGAGTAAAATAAGCTGCGTACTTTTTGCTAGAATTGGCATAGTGGCGCTGTGCGTCCATGGCGGCAGAGTAACAGCAGAGGAGAGTGTCACGGTGATGGTTGAGGAAGCGAGTAACCCAGGACTCAGAGATGCGTACATGAGCTATCCCAGACGCGAAATTTTGCACCATTTGCCTTGTAGGAGGTAGAGAATGGTCAGTAAGCTCTTCTATGTATGTACAAAGCTTGTACTCCTGGTGTTGACTGAGATGGTGGAGTTGTTGGTTGGCGTTGTCACGCAACGCGTGTAAGAACCGTACCAACCGTTCTTCCTCATACTACTCACACAATTGCTATCCGACTCCTAACCAATCCCTACCCTACTACCTACCGGTATCCCCCAAGCTACATTGAGCTGTTAGGTATATAAGCAGGGCAGTGTACATAGTTATGGTAGATAGTTTTTGAGTATCCTTTCGTACAAGACCTATAGGAATAGAGGTTTACTCCTAGTTCTATCTATCCCCGTGCTCCCATACACCTCGTAGCGGATTTGAACCCATATCGGAGTCCTCTCTTACCTGTGTCGTTACAACGAGCAGACGTGTTGGTGCTGCCGTGACAAAGTTGACCGTGACACACCATGTTTTTTTGCAATTGTCTTGTAGCAAAGTTTATCTTCTGCATCTGCAGCTTCTGCCTCTTTAAGCGCATCCTTTAGCGACATTGTGGTGTTGAGTTATTGCGTTAAGGATGATGGGATGGTTATGGTGTTGCGTGCATGGCCTGATGGCGTGCACGGCCTGCACAAGTACTGTGTCTGTGCGCACAACGATCATGTTGGTACAACGATCAGGCAACAACAATAGTCACATTTTGACACGTCAACTACACCACAACCATGCCTGGAATTCATGATGCACTTATGCAGATT